TAATGTTTTTGTTACAACTGATTGTTTATGTTTAAAAGAATGGAACTCAATTTTTTCAGTTTCACAATTTTTTTTAAACTCCTACAATTATGAAAGTAAATATAATTTTAACAGAATCATTCTCTTGTTTGATTATGAAATCGTCCTTTACGTTGTTTTTAATATCATCTATCAAAAGTACAAAATTACGAGCATTATTCTATCGTTAGGGGTATTTTGATAATTTGGATCATTCACAAGTTCTTCTCTAGTTTCGTATTTCTCTAGTAACTTATATCTATTTGAAATAGGAATATTGTACCTGTATTTCTTCTTCAGACGAGAGTGACCTCCTTCGCTTGTGCTCGTTATCATATTTCTGCGTACCTTGGAGCTGGTGTCCGTGATTGCTGTTGCGTTTGTGGAGGCACATGATATTGAGAAAGAATTTAGAGAGTTGCATTTCAACCATTTGCTGCTGATGTCGGAGATGTAGTTGCGTTGAAGATATTCATGCTCTTGGGTTATTGCTTGATTTGGGATGGTTTGCACTAGTTCACCGTTAAACGACTTTTCACAAACAGTTTCGTTAGAAGTGCCGTCCGTTGCGCTTCGAATTAGTTGCCCCGAAACGGTGCAACCACTTGTGGCCATTAACTAGTGTAAATGGATTTTTTCACTTTCCTATAGCTTAAATACGCCACTTTGTTTTACAAAACGTGACACTATTCACATCGCTCACACGAACGGAACTATCACCGATCATTATATCACTGACCGCTGAGGGTTGACCACTGCTGGGGAGCGATAAGAGCTGCTTCGGACGCGAAGTATTCCACTCGGCGGCTCGAACCGGACTGTTACGGAACTGGTGTCGAAAATTCTTCACTATCGAGACTCGAATCTGTGACTTTCCGGTCCACGGACCTTTTACATCATCCATTTAGATAATATTAATATTATCATAGGTTATTTATTTATTATTAGGATGTTCCATAGATGTTTACTACAAATTAAACACAAATTATTTAAGAAGAATCTTCTGTTCTGCGACATACTACACATAGTTCGAGTATATCAAATTATTATTAGTAGGGAGCGGATTTCTATAATTTTGCATATTTTTGTTCGTCGCTTCAGTACATTGCTGAAAGAAATTTCTTGACCTTTGGTTAGAATACGATGCTATGTAGATTAATATGTCAGTACATATTTGGCCGAGTTTTCCTCTCAATGCATTTTTCTGAAATTATAAGCGCATATTTTGCTTATTTCGTTAAAAAACTTAACTATAAAACGTCTCATATCTTCATAGCATCTATCTATTTGTTAGCGTTCACTGATTAAAATAAACTTGTCTCCATTTGCATTGTTTTTGTTTTCTATAGATAATAAAACATTTTTTCAAATGTGGCATATTTCTTTATAGTATTTTTTAAACCAGTCAGAAGAAATACAAGAAGACATGCAATGTACTGCAAATTAATATTTACTTCAATTATTTCTTTTGCGAAGAAGGGTAGATTATATTGTTAAAATATGTCTTTTCACTTCAAGTATTCTTCCCCAGAATTTTACCAAGAAAGGTTTGTAGACGAAATTAAGTATTGTTAATTTTAATTGCATTTTAAAGTACATATTTCAGTATTTGTAGATCATAAATGTATATTTTTAAAAGCATAATTCAAGATTTCTACTACGCAAAACAAATAAACAAGGTCCGTAAAATTTTCATTTAGTGAGGATTTTCTGGAGACGAGTAAATTGAGGCTGCTCACGATATACATTTTCCAATACATATTAATTAATTAATTAAGAATTTGGGAATGATTACTTAATGGGGTAATACACTGTATTAACTGCTGGTGCTACAACAACACACACTTTGTCGCGTTATTTCTAAATTTGCCATTTTCTAAAATTCAGAGTTCAGCCAAAATCAAACCTGTAGCCTTTTTTCAAGCATCCTCTCTATCAGAAGAAAAAAAATTGTGCGATTTTTTACAGAGAGAAAATTTTAATTTTTTAATTGCTTATATTTTGCACCAAATTACACGAAAACCACTCATAAACCGCAACCGAAGTTCGTTTGGAGCAAAATGTAATTTTCTGTTTTCGTTCACGTTCACTGGGACTTGACAAATTTTTGAATGTGGAATTTGAAGATTTTTCTACATTCCAATTCATTTGATAATTCAGCATATGATGGGTGTACTGCAAGAATTTACTGTCAAACGTCTAAGTGAAAATGCGATGTCGGTTGGATTATTATTCTGAGACCTTCAATTCAACATGAACTTATTTCAAGCTCCGTCTTTATGAAACAGATTTAATAAAGGAAAAATGTATATTTTCAGTATAATAGTTGTAGGAAGACGCCCCAAAAATTGCACTTTTCCAATTTTAAAAAAAATCAGGGATTTTAACTAACATGAAACCTGCACTGGATCTTCTCTCCCAGGCCCCTTGTTTTCTCTAGGTGCCGTTGCGCGGGCGTACGTATATAAGCACACCAAAGAAATTTCCTTTATGCTATCCCCCGACAAAAATTGATCAAAAATGTTGATGCCATTTTGAAAATGTTTTTCATGCTTCTTCTTAAGTATCTTCAAAAATCAAAATATCCACTTGAAAATCTCAAATTCTCGAGTTAATTCAGATCAATCGGGGAATCAATTTCAAAGAAAATCGGATGAACGATTTAGGCGCTAGCGTAAACGCAACGCATAGACGTTTAGCCGTCAATCGATTTTTCGGTAAGGATCCGCAAAACATGGATTCTGGATATACCACGTTATAGGATTTTTTGTATTTACCAAAATAATTTATTCACTTGTTCGTTACCAGGGCCCTGCAATAAGAGTTTTTCTGCCGAATATGCGCCGTTTTCCGGCGCACGATTACAAAACAATCTCTTCTTACGAAGTACCTTCGTAAGTGCGAGAAAGTTAAAAGAAGCTGATGAATCTACATTTATATTTATCTTCACAGAGTTATAATTCGTTCTTAACAGTAGCACTACAAATGGCCGATGAAATATTTTTATGAAGAAACAGTATAATATTTCTTCTGTATTTTCAATTACTAACTTTTACAGAAAGAATCGGTATCCAGAAATAGAAAAACATTGCGTTAATTTTCTACAAAACCAATAAAAATTAAAATCAGTTCAATAGAACCACACCATATTAATAACAATTGTATACTAACCTTACATTTTACTGGAAATATTTTACATTTACCAAGATTTCTACAAGTACTACATGGATTTATTTGACATATTTTATATTTACCAAAATTTCTACATGACTATAATAGGATATCATGCTATCCACAGTAACTTAAAAAAGTAATGTTTTGCTTATAATGACGATTACTGAAAATGTTTTGATCAGATGAATCCACGACATTATATAAACTCACTAATCTTTACATTTAAACACCATCTTTGATCTTAAAAATTTCGTTTTGTCAACAATAACCTCATGATCCAAGTATACCCTACCAAGACCAACTACAATACAATTGTATACAAAAAGCAGTAGATAAGCATTCATTCTATTAATTTGATGTTAATAACACATTATTAAAATTTAGTGATTTTATGATACATCCAGTGAATAAGAATAACTGATAACTCATATGGTCCCAATACCTTCCATTTAAAGAAAAAAAATCACGAAATTTGGAGTAGAAAGCTCAAATTGAAGCCATAGAAATTAATGTCTTAAATATATGAATATTTGACATTTAGACAAAGTATTCCGTTTGTTAAAAAATTGACTCTTTTGTCATTTCCTCAACGTTACATCGCCGCCCAGAAGATCACCAAATACCTCCGCCCAGGGGCAGGGGGCAGAAGGTTGCGCTGCCGGGGAAGAAGTGGGCCGCACACTGGCCGCACCTGGCCGCCCGGCGCGCCCTCGGCGGCAGCCGCCCGAAACACGACTCGTGCATTAGTCCCTCGCAGGAGCCAGCGTCCGCCGCGACAGCCCGGAGGAGAAAAGGAATTTGCGCTGCCTTCTGTTCTCTATGACGCATTCCTTTACGCAGACGTTCGTGCGTCTTCCTTTGCACCATGTATTGGGTGAAGCAGGTGATAACAATAACATATGAAATCAAGTGCCCCCCCTAGTTATATGTATTTTCGCCCTGTTTTATTGTATTAAAAGTCTACTTAAAATGCTGCAAAGACAGTATACACAACATCATTGGGAGGAAACGTTTAACGATTTGGTGAAATACATTCAAATATATGAAAAAATAATTTAATGAAGCTATTAGTTGTTTGTATTCTGAATGTCTCAAGATTTGTCGAAAAACTAATTGTTTAGTTACTGCGTAGTAATCCGAAATACTTTACTGTAAAACGCAACACATAAATTAATTTTTATTAATCTGTACTATTAATCTTAAATTTTAACTATAATAATGTGCCTCTTATTCCTGCATATAATTTTAGAGTCGCTGTCTATAAAAACAAATTCTAATAACATGAATATATTAACCTTAAATTGACGATTTTGAAGTATAGTTACGTTAAGGGACGTAAAATGAATATGAAATACACACACAATAAGTAAGCTATATGATATTTTCATTACAAAATTGCAAGAAAACTTTCTTTAGATGAGTTCATTGGATAATTTTTCGACCAGTAATTTGATCGGATCAGTCCAGTAGCAAGTGTTTGAAATGAACTTTTTAACCGAGATAAATAGTTATATGATTGTAGGGTAAACTTTACAAATACTGTCAAATATTTCGTTCTTGTTCTCAAATGAGTGAATGAGATCAGTTCAACATGATGTACAATTGTTTCATTTTGACATGAACTTACCTTTCACGGAGCCAACTTTTCTTGAGAATACGAAAGTGTGACTCACAGTTCAACATCCACATATTATATATTTCTTTAATATCACAAAAAGGTTAAATATTAAAGAATATAATTAGGACGAATTTTTCTATAAAATACAATTGAGAAAGGAATATGGACGAAAAGAAAACACTACGTATCTTGTAAACAAAGTTTATATATATTTATATAGGTACGTACCACACCATTTTATGTACATTGTTGGGTACATTTTATGGGTTGTACAAATCAAACTTACCTACATGGAAGAAATGTTTTGGCACTGTAGTTTGCTATTGCCACTGAAAATTTACAGGTGGGTTCCTTGCGAATACAAATGTATCTCTGTAAGTCATGCCTGCAAATAACCTAATTGAAATGGCTATTAACCAAAATAATATTATCTAGTGTCTTGTACGTAAATATATTATACATTTACTTTTATGGAAAATGTAAATGAAAATCATCACATGTCACAAATGAGAAACTAAATATGAACCAAATTATTAAAACAAATTGCTAATAAAGTATGGAGATACATCTTCTACAGGCAAGATTCAAAATGTAAATTTACCTTTCATCACTTGTAGAGCGTTTCATTAACATTCTTAACTTATTGTACATACAGTTAACTTTTCGGTTATTTCACCAGACGGTGAATAACTTCATTGCATTCGATTGTCAAATGCAAGAAATGAGATGGTACTTCATGAACCGATACACGTCATGTAGAAAAATCTCTTATTTTTGCCATTTTATGTTATTTTATAAATCATGGAAGCATTTATTTATATATCGTATTAAAAAACAATTTTTCTGAATTTTTCTTCAGTTTTCTAAGAAGCGTAGAGATGTGCAAGCCTGGCAGATAGTATTCCCGATTACAAATTCGCTTCACTTATTCATAAGCTCTTGCCATATTGATAACAACCGTTTGCCATTGAGCAAATGAATGAAGCTCTCTATGAAAAACTAATTATTCTTTGTTTATAGTTAGATTATATTGAATTTCAGGAATTATGGGTTCACTTCACTTTCCACAGCTTGCAAGAACTTAATAACTATGGCAAAAATATCATACATTTTAATATACTGTAATATTAAATGTTTGGTATAAAATATGCTCATAATGGTAAAATATTGAGATACAAGCTATCATAAGATGAATATACAAATAATATATAAAATGTTGGAATTACTAACAGGCCACAACATATAAATTCACAAATATTCTTTCAAACTCAAGAGGAAGGGCAAAATCCCGTTCTCTCATCAAAACAAGTCTCAACCAATGTTCTTTTAACACACTATCATGGACCACATGATCACAAATAGAACATTTTTGGCACGATGTTCGTTTACAAAATAATCTTGATGCGCCACGTCACGAGCGTTGACCCGTTTGGATCTTCCAACTACATCTTTTCCTAGAATTTGCATATAAAAGTGTCTGAGAAAAGTTCAGAGTTCAAGTGTCTTAGCACTGGTCCGTTTAACGCCGGCATGTGCAGCCGAATATCGCAGAGGCCTACGGAGCCGCAGCGGTCCTGTCAGCACACCACCGCACCAACACACTTCGCCTCTTCCAACAGGGCTGCACAGTGCCAAGAATTGGGTTGCTTTAAAGCAAACAGAGTAGGTTATAACGCAAGCGAGTAAACATTTGAATACCCACCCTTTATTTGGTTTGTGATGCCTAAAAAACGAAGGCATTATATCATTACAAACCATCATTTGTAATACAATGAAGATTTTTGTAGAATACATTTGAAATACCGATAACTGAATTAGAACGATCAATCATTAGAATTTAAACTAATATTGTTATTCAAATAATTAATATTCAATTTTCTCAAGACTTTAAACTTTGCTTGAAGTGAAGAGTTCATGGAAATGCCTTTAACTGTTTTCGTAATTATTGGAAACTGTGCAGGCCTGTGTAACGAGTCATTTGCTAATGGGTGTCCCTCGAGCTATCCAGGTAGAACTGCCACAAAATGAGGAAAATGTTTGTCTATTTCATATGTCATTCATTTGAAATAGTGTTAACATAAACACGAGAACGTGCACTTAATATCTGCAAACGAGAGAAGCTGAACTGCATATTAGTCAGCTCTTTTAAAAAATACATTTTTTACGTAATTCTTCTACTGGGTCCCCCGCAGCTGTAGTACAAATTATACTTCAACCACAGCAACGTAACCTCAGTGGGTTTTCAACTTGAAAAACCAGAAATCGTTGTTATGAGTTTAAATATTTCTACCCAAAAATATTGACGCCTCCGAAAATGTTACATTTTTTTATTATCCTCATTTTGTTTTGGGTTGCGTTTCACAAAAACTTGTTAACTACAGACAGAACACTCGAAGGACACTTTTACGTCAGAATATTATAAAATCACTAGAAAAGTAACCTAGAATATACAATTATTACAGAGCACACATCAATCACGGATGGTGTATTCTACATTACATGTCTAGGAAACAATCTTCTGACGCCAATCGGCAGAATACATCCACATGGTGGGCTCCGAGATCAGAAGCCACCGTAAGCCTTCCAAAAACGTTTACCTTCTGACGCACCTCCGGCCTCAAAACGCGATACGAAACGGCCTCCGCTGCGTCGCCACAGCCGCCGCCGCCGCTGCCGTCGCCGCCTCCACATCCTTAGTACTCACGCTCCCCGCTGAGACCACGGTCTCGGAAAGACAGTCGCTCATTGTTGTAGGTTACATAGTGCATTTATTTGTTTCAAATAGTTTCTGCGGAAATTGTGAACGGCTATTGCCATAGGACGTTAATGTGAAAGACAATCATGGATTTGGACAAAGATTTAAAGGAAAAACTTAACATCGCCAGCAGCCGAACTTCTTTTTTCGAAGAAAGTGATAGTATCGGGGTTTATGATCTAGATAGTGAAGATGGAAGGAAATCCGACTCAAATAGTGACGATCTCTTGTCGAAAGAAGATGAACTTGAAGATGTAAAAATGAATGCTAAAAAGAACTTCATTTCAAATGAGAATGACACAAAATTCTTATCTCATGAAGAAGCTTTTTACAATAGTTCGGTATTTGGAAAAGATACTCCAGAGGGGGCTCTTGAAAGAGCAGCTACGCTTGCCGAGGGAATTAGAACGCTAGGGAAATCACAGGAGGATAACTGGAAGAAAATGCACGATCTGATAATGAAGAAGGATTCCTTGATAAAGCAAATGGCTGACGTAATGATAAGCTGCAAGACGAGGATGTCTCCATCCAACGAATCTCTTAGAAGAGGTGTTCGAAAACAGAATTTCAGTTCTTGTGGCTTATGTACTAATACGCATCTCATTCCGGAAAAAGATCTAAACGATTTGTGGGATCCAGACGATTCATTTTCTGCGTTAGGGGACGTATCTGCTGATGACATTAGTGAAGTATCATTGGATGAGTTTAGTGATGGTCCAATTCTAGAAGTCCCCTATGGGTTTGGTGATCATGATTCTGGAATGGAAAACAATGTAATTGGTAAAGAAATCGAAAACGTACAATCTTGCATAGCTTCACAATCTGAAAATGACATATGAAGTATATTCCAATCAATTATTTATATCCTGTGTTTTTGAATATGCTGATATCTAATAAAATGTTTTACTGACATGAGTGTTTGTGGAGGGATTTTTTATTTTGTTCCTGTTCTTTTAAGTCAATCTATTCTTCTTTAATTTCTGAGATGTACCATGAAGTTGAATGTTTATTCAATTTGTTGTAGTAGGCATCATAAATAAATAGTTGTTTGTGTTTGAATATGCTTTTCATTTAATTGTGATGAGGTAGAAGTGATTTGGTATACATAAATTACGAATATTATTACAAAATTTCAATTGCGTAGAGAGTAGTTTTGTGGCAATAAGTCTATGTAAAGAATATAATTTTATTACTTATTCATTCAAAAAAGAAGTTATAATTAAAACATTATAAATCGATAACACGTCGGGATATGCTTTTTGATAATCAAATTTTATCGTATTTATTTGAACAAATAACTACTTAATATTGACTTAACCCTATGTATTTTCACGTTCAGAGGTCCTAACATTTTATAATTCGCATTTTACTCTCTACAGCTGCCTTTCTGAGAACGTGTAATATTTCTTCTTTCTAATTTCAGTTTAGTCACTGGAAAAGGAAAAATTCTCAAAGGTAGGTCCTGGTTTTTGATTAAATTACGTCAACGTATTCGCAGAGCTTTTAAGGCCTTATTAGCACTTATTTAAATACATAATTATTTGTTTAACATAAAAGAGTTCACTTTCATTTAAATTATTAAGAAATGAAGTAAATAAGAATAAAAAAACATATGTGCATTTTTCGAGATGGCATTGCATAGGGCCTCGGAGGCCCTGCAAACGCACTCTTGTAGTTTCCCGGTTCCATACATCCTAGGGTTCATAAAGCGTGCCAATAATAAAATAGAGTTCATATTTAAAAAGTTACTTAACGCACGCACAAATTAAGTTTAAAATACGAAATTATCCAAATGAAATATTTAAACTTCAATTTCACTATGCTAATATTTTCGTTTCGTCCAGACTTAAACCCAGTGGGATGACATTCCGTAAATTTTACATCGGAAATCTAGTTCCCAAACTAAACAATGTTAAGAAATGTGCTTCTCGTGGACTTTGACGTTACGGCTCCGTAGCGGAGAGCGCTTCCGTCAGGGAAGCACAGCGGACCGGGGCTGGCACAGCTGACAGAGGGAGCCAAGATCGGGGCGATGGGGTGAGCGGGAAAGGCGGCAGCAGGCGTGACACACGCCGCCATGATTTCCCGAGGGGCGTGAAAATGCTGCACCCCGTCACCTCTCGCTTCCGCCGAGCAGGTAGAGGCAAGCGGCCCAGGTAAGTGCCAGCGCCTCCCCGGCAACCCTTTGCTTGAGCGGGCGCCGTTTCGCCTTGCGATAGGATGGCTCCGGAGAGGGTGTCGACCAGGCGGGACGAGTGAATTGTGACATAAAAAGGAGGGAGGGCGGCCTTAAAACAAAGGCGCATTTCGAAGAAACGCCTTTCTCCGGTTTACTGCCCGAGCCCGGCATCGTCGCGATGGGAAAGAGAAGTCAATGTCTGCGATCTTGCACTGTCTACGATCTACACTGAACCGAAAGAAGGATTCATTGCTACTTCTCCTATCAGGAGCGAGCTTCTCTATTTCATAAAGGAACCATCTACATGAGAAATGATCTACGATGCTATAAGAGTTGTAGACTGCGGACTTGCATGAGAGGAAGACAACTTTGCAGAATGAAGTATAATAGATAACCTTCAACCAAATGAAAGACAGGAGAACACGTCACTTTAGAACTACGTTAATATAGCATTTAGGGGTCATCGATATGTAGTTCATGCACACATGATGATAATTTCATACAATTTAAGACGGGTGGTAGAACGGTTAAGAGGGGTGGTAGAAGACATAAAGAACTGATAGTTACACGAACATTTCATATCAAGAAGATTCATAGTCGCAGGAGCAAAATTTATAGAAACTAGATTTTTAAAAAGGTCATGTAATTCCTTTAGAAAGAAACGGCACGAGATCGCGAGTGGTATGAATATCACAAGGCTGCTTGGCAAAAATAAAGAAAATCTTTGAAACCCATTTTGCATTCGAATGAACGGACATTTCCATCTATAACATAGTGTAAGTAACAGAGTCAACGTACGAGTCTTGGGGGCGCTTGCCGCTCTCACCACAGCCAGGGAACCACGCGCCCGAAAACGTTGCTGGAAACCCGTTTTTTCCCCACCGCTAAACGCGATTCAAACGCCGCTAACGAGAACGTTAACGACGTGAGCGAGCGATATTGGCGGAAGCGCCGGCGCGAGCAACGTTGTTAGCCCGCCGATTGGATTACTCGACGCTCGTATGTGGCGGCGCGGAGTCCGCGGCGCGCAGCGCGACGGCGGCGGAGGCGGAGAGGCGCGACGCGAGCGAGAGCGAGGGCGACGGGGGCGGCGGAGGCGGCGGCGACGGCGGCGGCGACGGCGGAGGCTACACGCTGCTCGACAGCATGCCGGCGCTGTACACTCAGATGCGGAAGGAGCCCGGTTTGACCCGGGACGCGCAGAAGCTGAGCGAGAAGCACAGGAGCAGGAGGCCCACGGCGCTCGCCAACAGGTACACCGACCACGACAGCTGGCACGTGCCTGCAACACAGCGAAGACACCGCTGCTTTAATACTAGGGGAAATACACACAACTTATTGGCCTTTAAGGTCAAGAATACGTTTCAGTTTTCATCATTTAAAATATACATACATTGGCGCTTTTTTATAACAACCAACCTAAAAATGTATTATTTAACCTTATTATATAGTATTTAACCTATTATTTGACCGGCGTCAGCAGCTCAACTACTTGACCATGCTTCGTAAAGTCACGGAGGTAAAGCAGCTCGAGATACCCAGGGTCCTTGGAAGGGTGACCGTCTGGGACACTCAGGAGGGTACTAAATGACGTCTAGCCCCTGGCCGAACGGGATTAAAGGCAATGGCAATTTCGCGTAAATGACAATGTTCAAGGAGAATTGCCCCTTGTTTACTGACTAGATTAAAAAATTCGGTGTTGAATGCCGAATAAAGATTTGGAACATCATTTCGAGATTAACCGAATTGAACTTCCACTCTTCAAGATGGACCGCCTAAATTGACACAGTAAATATCTTCGAAATGGTTTTAAGGTACCGGAAAACTAATTGCGTCAAATTGTTGATGATGGAGGAACTGTATTTTGTTTTCCTACTTGCACTGGCTGTAATTTTAGAGATATTGACAAAACCCATTATGCTTCAAGCCAAAACAGAAAAGGGGCAAAATGAAGTCAATTTGACTGAATAAAGAAGCAATACAATTAAATCATACTGAAAACAAGACATTTCCATGTCGTTCAAACCAGGCGAATGCCGGAGCAGTACCCCAACAAACAGACCATGGACCGCACGTGATCTCACCTTCCTCTTCCTTATACTATCCTCACCTCTGACACACACACTTACACTAACATGCACTACACTAACATGCACATGTCGGGAGACCGGTTGGGAGTTTAAGAGCTTGTCCCGACTGCGGCGGTGCCTCGATGGTGGGAGATACCTGGTAAAGGAAAATCCCGCTAGCCGACGGTAGATCGGCGCCGGATTGCGCCATACAGCAGAGGGAAAGTTCACCGCCACCTCCCGAGCAAAAAAACAAGCATTACATATACGGGACTAATGACCCTGGTAGTTGACGTGCCTGGAACCACTAAACAGTCAATCAATCAATGTCGTTCAAGAGAGCCGGGAGCTATGACGACGGAGAAATTCCTTTCCCTTCCTGCCTGCTTTGATTCATTGATGTTTCCAGACATTGTGAACTGCTACGACCATTAGTTCGGAAAGTGCAGTGAATGTTTTATCTCGGGAGGGTATTCCTTCCACGCTGAATAATGAGATCCAACGCCGCCCTGAGCGTCCCCTGGCGGGGGATTTCCCTCCCCAGGTATTTCCTCTAGCAGACATCGACCCCGTCGAGACAAGCTCTAAGCACCCAACTGGTCTCTCGTCATGTGTGATAGTGTAGTGCACATAAGTGTAGCTGAGTGTAAGGGAAGAGGACAGTACAAGTAAGAGGAATGAAAGATCGCACGCGGTCCGTGGCCCGTTTGTTATAGTACTACTTCGGCATTAGCCCTGTGTTGAGCGGAGAAACTACGGAAAATTACCGATCAGAGCAGTAGTTTGTTAGAATTCTCCTCCACATGGTGGTTGAATTCAACCTAGCAAAGTGGCTAGTGTCAAAAATCCGCCAAGATTGCGACTCACCCCTAGGGCTAGGACCTCACTGTCAAAGTCGCTGACGAGAAAGCGAAAATGCTGCTTCTGAGCAAAACTCAGCCGCTTGGAAGGCTGTTATGGAGGACATAGAACACGTGGCATCCAATGAAAAAAAATCGTGCAATCCTTCTACAATTTCTTCGAAATAATAATACTTACATAATTCTATTCTTATCTTCAAGACCTTTAGAGTAACGAAGTAAAAATGTGACCAACCAGAAGAAAAAATATGTTGTTTTTTCACCTTCCACAGTTTGACGAAAACGGCACCCCAAAACCTCAAACACTTTCGAAGATATTTACTTTTGCCAAGTTAGGTCTTCCATCATACACGCTGTACACAATTAAATCATTACATTTTTCCCATAATTTTTCACGTATGTTTCATATTAAATTGTTTAGACTTAAGAAACTTGAGAGCTTGGATAACTTCGGATTGACTCTTTCGAGATTCTTTCGACTGATGAAATTTTAGCACTTACATAAATTTGAAAACAATACATGATTAGATAGTGTAACATCCATTTGATGACGATGTTTTGAGAGGTGACGCCCAAAGCAAACGTCCTTCTCAATTAAAGCAACTCATATTTACATAAATATGCTATAAAAGTTACAAATTTGAAATACAATTGACAGCTTTTAATTTTACAGTAATTTGAATCTGATTAGAATTTCTTGATTTAATCCTTGGCCATCCTGTATTTTGACCTCGACTGAAGGTAAAGGTAACAAAAAGGAGAGGTGTGTAACTTTCGGAAGTAAGAGTAGCCAATTTGTTCTCACATGATTGATTAGAGAAGGATTTTTTTTAAATTTAAGCTTTAGAAATAAACCAATATAGTTCTTAAAAACTATTTTTAACTAACAGTTAATTTTTGCAAATTCCTAAGGACCGCTCTTTCCCTAACAGAACATGTGTATGTTACGGAAAGTGGAATGAATGATTTGTAGAATATGCAGTAAGTTTTCCGAGATTATTCACATAATACGAGAAGAATGCGGCATATACGCAAGGCGAGAAGAGGAGGATGTGGATGGCGCATTAAGCATGAGTACATGCGTCAATCACCGTGCATTCCAAGAAGATTCAGCGAAGATCAGTGGAAAGCGATGACTGCCCCGACGGCCAACATATGACGTTATTCTGGGAGGGAACACGCAAGTCCGTTGAATTAGTAGTTTAGTGCGTTGAATACGTGCATCGGAATTAAAGAGAATTATGAAGACAAATAAAGCATTTCTTCTATTAAACGTGTTCAACTAATTTGAAAAACAACGGCAGATCATTTTTGGCCTTCCCAATACTTATTTAACAAAATGCAAAGAGTAACGGTTGTTAAATTAATGCAACTATTTATATAATGGCACTCGGTTTTCCTTGATAAACTAAATTGTCTAAAAAAGTGAATAAAAATTATTTGATTAGCAGTGGGACGATTTGCCACAATGCAACGTGGTCAGAAGAGTTAGATTTCAATTTTTTTAATGTTATGCAATGATGCATTTTTCTGATAACGTATTGCACAAGAAAATTAAGAGAATACTATAAATAAGAAAAAGGAATTAAACTGAAGTTCACGTACATTAAAGCAAAATAAGTACATAATAATTACACAGATACAGGTAATTATCTAGAAACATTTTACGACGCATAATTAGAATACGGAATGCTATGTTAAAGAAGAATAGATGTGAACTGAATCCAAACACATTTTTGAAGATTGCAATAGGTTTTTAACTAGCAAAAGTCATTAAAATTTTGTTATTAAAAAAGAAATAATAGTACAATGTTACACGTGACTCGCTGTCAATTCTTTATCATACACATGGTTCACGTAAATTACAGAAGTTATTCACAATTAATAATAAAAACTCTATAAAATAGTGCTATTTAAATGACAAAAATAAATGAACCCAAAAGGATTCTGACTTTACCGACGTGTGATTACCTTGAAGTAGTTTAAAAGCATATTAAATCTGTTACATGAATAACTATGGAACACTTCGATTAAACGTAAAATTTGGATTAACGGAAACAAATTTTTCCCTTTCTCTTTTGTTTAATACAATACTTCTGTTGAAAATGCTACTGTATTGCTGGAAATAAATTCCTGTTTCCTAATTAATTTAACAGCAAGCTGTAGGGCGCTCTTTTGAAATGATAACACTGAATGCAAAACCATTATGAATTTTGTTTCCTTTTCCGCAATGCAGCATTTCAAAGCGATGTATTTGAATCAACAACACAAAGATAAATGGACAAAAACAATTTCTGGAGGACTTTAACTGTTATTAACCGCAGCCGATAAATTCATTGACAATAGCCAGGGCTTTAAATAATCCGCCACCTGTTTGGAATTTGATAGCTTGCAAAACAGATGATTTCACAGCCTGTAAAATTGATTTTAATGGTCAACTACAAATTCTACCGCAAGAAACATCAATATTCACTTTTCAAGTTAAGTATTCAAGAAGTGTTGAATACAAAAATAGTGTAAATAGTCATATTATACTACGTTAATCTAGCATGCCAATGACTTGACCAGACATAATGGCGATTTCGAAATATCGTATTCCATTGGAAAATCCAACATTTTCATCTCAACACAATTTGAACAAAGTGTAATAATCCTTTCAAAAATTTAGTGATTCACAATTAATATATTTTGGCGTATCTTTGTCATTGAGTGTTACGCCAAAAAGTCTTTCATTGAAGTTTTGCTCATGAAATTCTAAACTATTCATTTAGATTTTAAGAGTCTGGACGGTGGCAGGATTTTCGGCACCAGCTTGTTAGCTAGGTCGAATTCAGTCACTGTCTGGAGGAGAATTCTAGTAGACGGCAGCTCTTAGCAGTAGTTTTCCGTGGTTTCTCCGATCAACATCAGGCGAATGCTGGAGCAGTACCCTAACAAACGGGCCACGGACCGCGCGCGATCTCAGCTTCCTCTTCCTTGTTCTATCCTCACTCCTTACATACACACACACTAACATGCACTACACTACCACACTTGCCGGGTGACCCGTCAGGAGCTGAGAGATGTCCCCGTTGGGGCGGTGCCCTGCTGGTGGGAGATACCTGGTTGGGGAAATTCCGTTAGCCGACGATAGGTGGGCGTCGGATCTCGCCATATAGCCGGGGAAAGATCACAACCACCTCCCGAGCAAAAAACATGCACTACACTTACGAGGCTATTGACACTGGTTGATGTGCCCGGAATCACTAAACAATCAATCAATCAATCAATCAATTGATTTGCACCAACTTACCGAGTTTATACACGCTGGAGACGTTACCGCAAGACTCCTTCACTTCCCGGTTGTCCCATCCCACTGGATAGAGAGCCGCGCCACAGCACACCAGCAACGCTGCAACAAATGCAAATATGATTAGCATCTCCAACGGCCCCGTTAAGCGTGCGCATTTCAGTGTAATTAGTTACACTGTTTAGCCACATTTTCTATGATATTAATATTATATTAACCTTATATAAATTGTTTTTAACCTATTATAAATTATTATTATTATTATTATTATTATTATTATTATTATTATTATTATATAAGATTAACTCTAGGGATGCAATCGAGGGATCCTTTTTAAATACTCTGTTTTTATTTCAACTATGTCTACTATTCGTAAACTTAGTTCCACAGCTGATAGCATTTTCACAGTACAGAAATGTTATGATTCACAATCATTAGTTTGATGAGTGAAATGAACACAAAAGTAGACTCATGATAATTAAGCGCACACAGAACTGATGATCCTAATAAATAATTTATCGAAACGTGTTGTTTATTATACAAAATTTTTATTTCTATTTCATATTTATTACGATTTTCCTGACGGTACAGTATGATAATCAGATCACATGTAGTAATCCATGCTCTTGAATTTGCTTCAGCAGAAAACGCGCAATAAGGTACTTCTATGTGTGTATGTATGTACTTCACGCGACAGCCCTTGAAAGTATTCAGGCCTACCGGCGTCGTCCCTGCCTAGCGGCCATGGTTTAATAGGGTGGTGTGCTTAGCACGTCGACATCCCCACGCCGTTCCCGGCCTTCACAACCCGAGAAGTGAATTTTTTCATCGTTACACATTAACGTTTACTCGGACATTGCAAGGAAAACGCACACTTGCCTCACCGAGAATCGAACCCGGGGCCACGTAGTGGAAAGCGAGCACGCTGACCAACAGCTAGCCACGAGCCCAAAGTACTCCTAAACAGGCTATTTCTTATGTAAGATAATGACTTAAATACCTTCACTGAACGCATTGTTACGCAACTCTTGAACCCGTTTTTTTATTGTTGTTTAACACAAATTTAAGTATATTTAGAATGATCCAATTATTTCTTGACGCTGAATCACGACATGATAGGACTGGGTAGATTTTATGTTTGTTAATATTTATTATTTTTTAATGTTCACAATTAATCATACATGGATATCGTGGCTTGCGAAAAGAAATAAATAAAAAATTATTTTGCTATAATGCTATCCACAGTTACATTTTTTACATTTCAAGTAGTCTTCGGAGAGGAACGTGTTGAAAAACGTAGACTTAACGTAACAATTGGCTAAACAATCCAGAAATACAGGTCAAATTTCTTCCAATTGAAATAGTGAACTCTTATTATCAAACGTCTGTCAGCAATCTTTTAAGTCTGCCATTACCTTGCAAATAAGTTTTCTATAACTCGGGAACGAAAATGTCTAGTTTTTATCAAATATTGCTAATCTAGCGCTGTTTTAAAATTTATTTTTTTAAATTTATTTATTTATCTTAAACTTTTACTCATATTTCAACTAGTTATAGTTGAAATTATGGGAAGGGATTCTGGAACTCAAGAAAACGTGCGTAGATGATCTTCTCCCCATTTGTTACATACAGTTTTACTGTTTTTGACTAAATAAAACAATCTTCTGTCCTGGCACCACCTGTAATACTACATGTGCACACACCAACGCTGACGCACCCACGAACCCCCTTCTCCCCGCATTCCGTTTCAGGGGCTCTTACTGAACCGCGAGGCGGGAGAAGCGCCAATATTGACGTAGCGAGCCGTTGTCTGGTAATAGGGAACATATTTGCTCTGTGAATAGATCAACCTCACTCCATCGGCCGCCGCTGACGCGCGGATGCAGCGGCGCCTAGGTGAGCGGGTGAGCCGGTGAGTCGGTGAGCCCATGAGCTGGCGCCAGCCAGCGCTCGCTCGCGATTACCGCCTATGGCGTGGGCCGCACCCCGCAATCACAACTTCCAGGCTGCACCGCTAATGTGCTTTAGTTACCGGAGACCACGAATCAGAGAGCAAAGTGAACAGAGTTGAACAATAATGGACCACAGTTCCAATAATTCTAGCCAATAATCATACTCAGCTTTGTATTCATTAGGATGGACAACGCGTTTAAACTGCGAATCGCGCTTAAGATGAAAATTGCTGATAGCCTCAAATGGGAGGAACTATTATCGCCGAAATCGTCGTCCAACGTTACAACGTTATCACTCCGACAATGCTAGGATACAATTATCAGCTGGGAGTTGCACTCCGCGGAACAGTATATGATTCATTAATTTTCGAAAATGGAACCTCGCGTTTGCCTTTAATGCGCCAACTCCGCAAAGCGCTTCGCGCGATTTCTGCTATCTCTGCAACCGGCGTGTGCTTCGGCATCGGAGAAGACGAACGGAAAATTACAGCCAAAAACCATCTCGTGCGGGGGTAAAGCGACAAAGTTTGTAATTGTAACGCGAACGACAGGTAGCGATCAGCAGGTCTCGCGGAGTTCGGGAGAAGTTGCGCAGCCGGCGAGACGCACCCCGAAGGTAAATTTGATCTGGCGGGATTGCTAAGATTGCGACGACGCTGATGAGGGCGGCGGAGTTGATAGTGGGAGGTGGGAGGGGCCCCTCGGCGCAGACGGCCTCAGGAGGAAGGGCTGGCGTTGGGGGTGTACGTGAAGAGACGAGATGGAAGTGACAACGCAAAAGGCGGTATACCAGGAGAGTCTCAGAATAATGACGATGATGATGGAAAAGAAGAAACCATGAGAATGAAGGAAGAGTATGAGACTTGGATGATAGCAGTCAATTAATGAATAGCCTTACATGAAAATACGACACTAGATGGTAGCATCAAACATATCATTTACATCGGGAGAGCTCCGAAACCCAAACATACTAAAAGTGTCACCTGCAATTGAAGCAAATTAAAAAGAAAAATGCAATCAATTTTTCAAGATGAATATATTTTTTCTGAAAAAAATTAAAGAAAAAATTATTTTGAAAAATAGCAAACCAACATACAGTAGTGCGTGATTAAATAGCAATAAAAATGAAAACAGTCAATGACTGAAAAATAGCAATAACGGATATACATGATAAAGAGAAAAACCGTTTGTTACAACAAAGCTAATGAAAACTCAACATAAACAGCAAAAAGTCATAAATCATGGTTTCACAGAAGTAATTGATAAATTTTTTTTTGAAATGTACAAGAAATTTGAATATTCGTCTCATAGTTCTAAGTATACTATGAATTGATTGTTCATTAAAAATGACTCTAGATCTTGAATATTGTGATTTTGGAAAAATCAGGTTTTCTTCCCTTCCAGAATTATATTGCAACTCAGGAAGTTGACAATCGTAATATTAATTTATCGATATCAACTCTGAATACGACGTCGATGACGTTGTACAATGTGATGAAAGGAAGTGGAAGCTTAATGCGGGGAGGGAGTTTTGAAAGTGACCAGAGACGATAATCAAATGTGCGCTAAATGTTGCATATAAGTAGACATTATGGAAATTACTTTTAACATTAGTTTACGCGAGAATGACCTTTAATACAACATCATTGAATTGTTTCGTTGAGCGAGCGATTATTCGTTAATTCAATTATATTCATATCAACTTCTTAATTCTGTTATATCTGTATATAGCTGATGGCGTACGCGAATATGCACGGACCAGGCGAAAATTCTTCCACTGTGTTAGAGTAATTATTCTTTGTTATTTACTGACAATTGATTGTTTTAATTGAAAGCTATACATTGGAAATTTCACTTTAACTATACGTCAAAATGTTTATGACAGTTTAATGGAAACATTCTTGTATTAGAAGACGATTGTGTAAATGGTGCACCCTATTGCCTTTCATTTCTTTTTTTTTCGGGATAAAAAGAAAATACGAAACTTGAACCTCGAACTCATACGGACAGCTAAGTTATAATGTCACTGTTGTGCTCTTACAGTTAAATTTAAAGAAATCTGAAGAAATTCTATTAAAATACTTTTTTTTCCACAATATCTCTAAATAAATAAAAAAATACCTGAAGATAGTCTAACCCGAAACAAATACCACAAGAAGAAATAATATGAATAGTGAAGAAATAATTCGACTCCAACGCCCTGGGTAAGCTCCAGAGAGGCCCATTGACGAGCAGGTGGCGCTTAGACGCGCAGCTGCAGTGGTGATGTGGCGGAGGGTGCTGGGGAGGCCAGGGGCAAAGGGACAGGCAAGAGGATTTCGGGGCCCTCGCAAGATTGCCAACCTGTTTCCTTTTATCGCCAACGAGTCCTCCCCCACCCGCCCTCGCCAACCCCGCGCTCCTCAAAGCGCCGGCCCAGCGGCGGCCTCTGATTGGCCGGCCGCGATGAGGGACGGGCGCTCGCGTGGAGCCCCGCACTTCCGGCGGTAAATGAAAACTTCCGGTCCGGCGAACAAATTGAAAAGAATCCGCGTCTTGAACTCGGGCAAACCCGGTCTCTTTACTCGAGCGTACTACTTTGTCGAGTTTCGCAACTTACACGAAACAGCGCCTGAGTTGGCGCTAGTGATTAAAAAGTCCTTCACAGCCTCTGCGCAACGCTTTTTCATCCACGAAGCTGATAATCGTCGCTTAACTGCAATATTCTTCGCAGCATTTCTTCGGGAGTTTGCTCCTGAAACGTGTTAACAGAACCTCAATAAAGGTAAACTTTCATCCATTTTTACACATTATTGTATCCCCTTGAAGCAAGTACGGGCGAGCTATTCATTAAGAATTTCTTAAAGAATGTTAGATTTCATCGTTCACGGTAGCAGCAAGTCAAGCGATTTCGTCTTAAATATTCAAGTAGAATTTCTTATTAAATACAGTCGCGGCGCCGCCTTTATTTGTTACAACGATCCCCGCCTTATTAAATCGTTTAGAGCCAACGCTTTCATACGCAGCCGGCTTTGGAGCAGAGAAACACAGGGGGCCGAGCCGGATGGGCAGCGGGAGCAAGAGATCGTGGGCGGAGAGGGGGGAGGGAAGAGAGGTGGAGGGGGAAAAGAAGGGAGGGGCGGGGACGAGAACGAAAGGAGCGGGAGGAGGGGAAAACGACCGCCGAACTCCCCGGAGTGGCGGAAGCGTGTTACTTTATTAAAGATAATATTGGCGCAGTTGTAGCCGCGTGCCGCAGAGAAGCATAAAAAACTTCGCGCGAGCGGTCGTGGCAGGAGGGAGTGGGGGGAGGCCACGTGACTCCTCCTTCCTCCCTCAATAATTCACTGTGTTTGTCTGGAGCGGCCCCCCTCCCCCGCGCGCCGCCCGCACCACGCCACGCCCCGCCCTGCCTGGCCGCGCCGTGCCGGGCCACGCCCTGCCGCCGAGTACAGCTGCGCCAAAAGTTCCCCGGAGGCGGCCCGCGCCCCCGACACACGCGGCGCACACTGTTCCCGAATGGGCCGGGAGGCGCCACGAGGAAAAGACACACGATGGTGACGTATGGGTATATTTGGACATTAAGAGTATAATTTATTTAGTGTTTGTAATACACGAAAGTAATGATTAAACCAACAGAAAAGAGTAGAAACAAAACGTGAAATTACATTAAATAAAAGCTATTGGTATTAGGAAATGAAAAGGGGAGACTGAACAAATTAACAAAAATAATACAACACACAAATTAGGAGTTGAGATACAAGTCCTCCCTGCGATACACCTCTCCTTTGGGCAACGACAGTAATTTCCTGTAGCAATAGCATCATCTGCTAAGTCTGGAATTCTCTGGACGTTTGACAACACGTATACAGATCTGTGACTCTTAATGGAGACACATGGTTTTCTCCCTTTATATACGAATAATCCACTAGGCGGTGTAGTGACTGCTCACCCCATTTCTGGGCAATAAGGATCAAATCCACATCGCTCTACAGGGAATATCTTGGTGGGAAAGGCAAGTTCACTGCAGGTTTTCTTGGATGTTCTCCCGTTTTCCCTTCTTCTCATTCTGCCATTGCCCTATTATAATTCATATCAACAAAGTCAACGTCACCTATAACCGGCCCATAAAAACATTCAATACTGAATAGGAATTTCATGACCGCAGAGGAAATGATCATAAACAACTGTAATATAATAACTGTAAATAATTACTGTATCTACACCAACAAATCTAGATAGTCGACATGGCAACGGCATGGAAGTGTGTTCTGGCGTGGTGGAGATCTCACAACCTCTGTGCAGCTCCTTTCAAGTCTCTTTCTTCCATTTTTGGACGACCTGGATGGCGCAGAGGATTTTAGATTTGCGCCCGGTTACTCATTATCTCCTTACTGGAGTCATATCTCGCGTAAGGCGTGGACGGTGTGGGTTGAGTAGATTTAGTGCTCATCATGTATTTTAAATGAACCTGCAAGATTCCCATTCATTTCTTTCGCTTCCCCCAGTAAGTTTTGTGAGAGAAGGTACGCAAGTGCGCGACATACGAGCTGCATCGTTAACACCAATAGGTGTGGCATGGCTCTCTCACAGGGCCAAGTGCGATGGGCTCACGAACTACGCCTATTCATTATAATCATCCACACTCTGACTAATAAGTGTCACTAAAGGTGCAATAGATGGGGAGATTGATACGTACTTCTAAGGCTGCATTTGGAGCAAACTTTCAGCCGGAGAAGGGGGCGTATGACTATACCAAAACGTGTAAAGAGGTAAAATTTACATAATAATAATAATAATAATAATAATAATAATAATAATAATAATAACATAATAATAATTATTATATAAACAATAATTTCCCGAATTAATGAATCAGAAGGACTTTATCCCACATTTCATAATTACAACTTTGTGAAGGAGAATCCGTGTTCGTCATTATTTTAACAGTAATACAAAAACAAACTAATTTATCTCCACGAAATATTGAAATGCTTTATAAAAAAATAATTTGTTATACGTTTCTCGGGTCTGTGTCTGTAGGTATGGAAATGCGCAAAGACGTAAAACTGAAACAAAAACAAGCGAAAAAAGGAATAGGGAAAACTAGGAATGCATAGAATGGTTTGCATATTATACGGTTAACAGTATTAACGGTATACAGGTAACTGACAACGATGACTAAGCCACCGAAAGCTGCTCTTGAATTAAATGGTAATGTTGGCCAAGTCAGCACCTCTATTTCTTTTAGTTGCAGTTCCACCAATAACAAATCACCAATGAAAACATGAAACGAAATCAAAACATAATACATGGTCTGTCTACGCCCGTTCCCGATGTGTTACCCGTAGATACATTCTTAGGTATCCGGGTGAGCCGCGTCTCGGTCAATTGGGCTGACGTTTCGGCCATCTTGCTGTGGCCTTCTTCAAGAAACGGCTGCTGATGCTTGCTGCTATGCAGCAAGATGGCCGAAACGTCAGTACAATTGACCGAGACGCGGCTCATCCCGGATAGCCAAGAATGTATTGACTCCGGCCGCGGAAGCCTACGAACGCGTATGTTACGCGTAGGTTCGGAACGGTTTCGGCCCAGTGTGCGGCAGCGTTAGGGTCTCCGCCATCGGTGATGCACCGATTCGCGGCGGAGCAGCCGCGAAATTGCCAAAAGTGTCCCTGCAGCGGGTGGCGCCGCCTTTTTCCAACTTCTGCACTTCATTCTCGCCGGCGCGCCCCTCGGAATTGATTTAGCAATGGGAGCCCCTGATGCGCGGCTTCGGCGTCGACTCACTCAACCGAGCGGGGTTCACTCAACCGAGCTTGTTTGTAAGGCGGAACTCCAGCAGGTGGTCAAATAAAAAGGAACCGTTTATAGAACTTCTTGTTTCAATTGTTTCTCTAAGCAGTTTATATATTTTTCTGGTTTTATTTAAATAAATTCTTGCAAATTTCAAGCCATTAATGAGTTTAGGTCGACTGCATGTTGGAGGT